TGTTTATTGAAATCCTTCTCAATAAAAATGTCGACATTGCCAGGGTTTTGTTAAACAGAATGGATCACAGATCACACTATGATGAGTTTCTTTTTAGTTTAATGTTTGCTCTGATTATTTTTAGTTAGTTAGTTAGGTAGTTAGTTAGTTAGTTAGTTAGTTAGTTAGTTAGTTAGTTCATTTCAAACATGTATACAAAACAAAAAAAAAAGATAAAAAGTGATAACAAAATTAACATAGTTGAAAAGGAATGGGAAGAAGTCAAAAACTTATTTAATCCCACCCTTCTCCGAAGCTTATTAACAAAAAATATTAAATTCTTCTTTTTTTTCTTATTCTAAGTTACAATTTCATAAAGATTAAAACAACAATCTGTTTACCTAGAATTTTATATAATACCAGAATATATTCATGAACATAAATGTACATCTACATTCAGTGTATATGCATACACACATAAATGTATACATACATACATGTACGCACATATATACACAGCCCCAGACATCTCCATTTTTAGAGCTGATTGAACCTGCTGTGGTCTCTGAAAGCTATAAAGTGCAGTATCAATCACAGAACAACAGTCTGAGCAGCGTTAAGTATCATTATATTCACCAAAAAATACAGTAAAGATATCACTTTAAAGTGAAGCTGTGCAAATCAGCTGATGGTGGTCAGCACACAGTGCTTTGTAGTGCAGTTACAAAAAGGGACCAAAGTTAAAACCATGGTCCACACCAAGGGCCAATCTCTGTCAATATTTGCTGAAAAATGTCATAAAACATATTATTCTTATGAAAATACAAACGAACGTTTCCAAATATTTTATGTAGCGTTCAGAACATACATAATGTAACGAATAATAGTAAAGATTACATTTAAAAACCTCTTTAGCAATCATTTCTTATGCATTGTGCTTTACCAGCAACTTTTTGATTTATTATTTCTTAGATACATTTGATCACAATCCAGCAAATCAGTTAAAAAAATGAAATATCTCAATAAACGTCCAATTGTTTGACTTTAATCAGAAGAAAATACAGAAAAAAGAGCAATAAAGTCGATTCTCTGTTGGACCATCCACACCAAAATCCATTTTTCTTGGCTTAAATGTTGGCCGGCAATCATGAGAAATTCAAAAAGTTAAACCATATAACTATTTTACATTTTAAAGTGTTACCTTTGGGGCCGAATAAAATGTTATCAAGGGACAGATTTGACCAGTGGGCCTTGAGTTTTTACTGCCAAGTATGAACGCTCTCAATCAGAGTTGTCCACTTGCTTCCAAGGTGGATTTGTTGCCAGGTCTGAACAGGGCCTTAATGCTCGCAGTATGTTATCTACGACTATCACACCAAAACTCAGCTGAGTTTCTGTAAAACTCCTCGCTCACAACATGATTAGGTTGGATTTAGACACTGAAACAATGATGTTGACAGCAGCAGGACATAACATACTGTCTGTTTAAAAAATGTCCCTGTTTCTGCCTTCTGAATCCTGTGTAGTGACACCTGAGCTCCTGAGTTAGTGAGTCGATTTAAGAAAGTAACACTGCATCAGTTGGTGCTTTGTTACGCTCAAATGAAATCTGGGGCAAATAAAATTAAAATCGATAAAGGATTAGCATTAAAGTTAAGTATTTAACTTTATGGGAAGATGTTTTTCCATTTGGAACAATAATATTCTTGATTAAAAATTTGTAAAAAATGAAACGGAAGTGTAGGGCAGCACGGTGGCTCAGTTAGTGGAGTTGTTGTCTCTCAGCAAAAAGGTTGGTGGATTGAATCAGTTTGCGTGTTCTTTCTGGGTACTCTGGTTTCCTCCCACAGACCAAAAACAAAGACTACTGATCTTAGGGCTATTGGTATCTCTAAATTGTCCCTAGCTGAGAGTGACTGGTTGTTTGTCTCTATGTGTCCATGACTTGCAACTTTCCAGGATGTGCCCCACCCCTCACTGCTGGATATGAGCGTAGTGACCCTAACAGGAAGAAGCAGGTAATAGGTAATAAACAGATCAAAGAAAACTGAACTTTTCTAGTCTAAGCGATCGGATGAAAATCTAGATGAGAACATTTTGCAGATAGAAAACACAGAAGAGCGGTCACAATTCAAGCTGCCCAGGTAGGTAGCTCATGCAGGACTTACTGCTTTGTGCATTCTGTGTCTGTGATATCTTTAAACCAGCATCTGTAACCGCTTGCTGCTAAACTGGCCTATGGATGCTGAAGTTGAAACAGCTGAGTTTTTTTGACATTCACTCACCACTATCATCACTAGGCCTTGAGACGGAATGAGAAAAAGACATTTCAGACTTAACTTGAAAGGGTTTTGTGACATGGACGTACGTTATCCTGCAGAACTTCTGATTTTCTGTTTGCACAGGATATTATCTCATCTCGCTGGAGTCAAACGTATTTCTGTTGGGGTCGGGTTTCTTTCAAAAAACACAAAAATCTCTAATTCTGTTAGCAACTTATATGACAACTTACAGTTCCTTTTAGTTGGGTGATCATAATATTATGGCTCATGAGTTAACAGGTCACCACTGAATGTATGTTTGCTGTAATGAACTCAATGCAGAACAACTTTGAACATTCATTGTTGACTCCTTCCATTGGTAACCAATTAAAATGTTTTTATCATTGAAATTAAATTGTACAAAAGCCTTTGTTGTCAATGAAAGCTTCAAGACGCCTCCTGTATGGAGAAACTAGTGGCATGCATTGCTCAGGTGTGATTTTGGCCCATTCTTCCACACAAACAGTCTTCAAATCTTGAAGGTTTCGTGGACCTCTTCTATGAACTCTGATCTTTAGTTCTTTCCATAGATTTTCTGTTGGATTCAGGTCAGGTGATTGGCTGGGCCATTCCAGCAGCTTTAGTTTCTTTCTCTGAAACCAACTGAGAGTTTCCTTGGCTTTGTGTTTGGGCTCATTGTCTTGCTGAAATGTCCAGCCATGTTTCATCTTCATCATCCTGGTAGATGGAAGCAGATTTTTATCAAGAATGTCTCTGTACATTTTTCCACTCATCCTTCCTTCAATTATTTGAAGTTTGCCAGTACCATATGCTGAAAGACAGCCCCACACCATGATGTTCCCACCTCCAAACTTCACTGTTGGTATGGTGTTTTTGGACTGATGTGCAGTGCCATTTGACCTCCAAACATGATGTGTATTCTGGCATCCAAACAGTTCAATGTTGGTCTCATCTGACCAGACTATATTCTCCCAGTATTACACAGGCTTGTTTAAATGTTGTGCAGCAAACTTTAAAGGAGCTTCAACATGCTGTTTCTTCAGCAGTGGAGTCTTGTGTGGTGAGCGTGCATACAGGCCATGGTGGTTCAGTGCATTACTTATTGTTTTCTTTGAAACAATCGTACCTGCTAATTCCAGGTCTKTCTGAAGCTCTCCACAAGTGGTCCTTGGCTCTTGGACAACTCTTCTGATAATTCTTTTCACTCCTCTGTCAGAAATCTTGTGAGGAGCACCTGGTCGTGGTCGGTTTATCGTGAAATGATGTTCTTTCCACTTCTGAATTATGGCCCCAACAGTGCTCACTGGAACCTTCAGAAGTTTAGATATTCTTCTGTAACCGATGCCATCATTATGCTTTGCAACAATAAGGTTGTGAAGGTCTTGAGAGAGCTCTTTACTTTTACCCATCATCAGATGGTTCTTGTGTGATACCTGGCCATCATTTGGGACTGAACCAGCTGATATTAACTTGCACTGACAAGGGGCAGACTTGCTTTCTAATTACTGAGAGAGTTCAGCTGGTGTCTTGCCTTTCCATGCCCTTTCTTCATGTGTTCAATACTTTTTCCCTGTGCCATTCCACATTATTACAAATAACTTCATTTCTGGACATTTATGGTTTGATTTCTTTGTATGTATGGATCACTTGGGTTGTTACCGACATCTGGTGAAAATTTCATGTCATTAGCACCTCTAGTAATATATTTACTGAGAAAAATGGTGATGTGTTCAATACTTATTTTACCCGCTGTATAAACAGGTTTTTATAAGGTAAAAATAATAAAACAAGGTCTTTGTCTGCAATGATTAGACATGTTTTTTGTTATTGTCATTTGTGATTATCTCAATTTCGTCTAAAAGACTTGACAAAATCCTACACACTGTGCCTTTAAAGGTGTTATCTCTATGCATTTAAAACCACATTGTTTTTCTTCTCACACACAAATTTAGTAAGATTTTCTTAGTGAATGACTTGGTGACTGATAAACTCGTAGCGGTTTTCCTTTCCCTCCATTTGTTCTTTTCTCTGTTGCCTTTGTCACGTATCCCCACCCTCCCTCTCCTTCCTTCTTAGCTCATATTACAGTCTTCCTCACACCTCTCCTCCTCTTCAGCCTCAGGTGGTTTAGTCAGATTAGGATGTTGCTGCATGTCTGAAGTGATCCAGATCCAGATAAGAATGAAGGATTTTAGGACTGAAGTATGAGGAACAGAAGGAAGGCCGTTTAAAGTGATGTGTTATGACATTTGTCTGTTTTTGTTTTAATATGAAGAAAATGTGTAAATATCTTATACATTCTTAAATAAATGTTTATAAACTATTCAGTGGTTTAATAGCTTTTTCATACATTTGTTTCTGTCTTCTGCTTTGTTCTACAAAAATTTAACTTTTGTTTACTTTTTAGAAATGAAATCAAATCGTGATTATGTTTAAAAGTGAACTCTACAGTATACACCAGTTATCATCAATATACATAAGAAGAACAAGAAGTTCTTCACCTGGTTGTCTAGTCGGAGTTTTTATGTATTTTTAAAATTTAAAGGAACAGGAGACTTAATTTTGGGGAAAAGACTTTTACAGTGTCTTTAAATTTAGCTTTTAAAAAGTTTTTGAAAACGTCTGAAACATTTAGAAGCTCTGCAGAAACTAGCAGTATGTCAAAATAAATTCAGGATTTAAAAAATGTAAAAACAGCAAACTGCTCTAAAATATGAAGAACTTTACAAAACACAAGGATTAGTTTTTCCATATAAATTATTTTATTAAGATATAATAAAAAAAATAGTTGCAGGTGAGGAAAAATCAAATGACTGTGTGGTTTTAAAGTTGCGGCAGGTCATCAGGCAGCGTCAGCAGCTCGTCCACTTCCTCCTGAAGAGCCGCAGCTTTTTCATTCAAAAGCATCTGAAACAGAGAAATGTACAGATTATCATTCACTACCAGGCCAAAAAAAGTCTCCACCAAAAAAAAAAAAAAAGGTCACACACTCAGTCGCCTTTAGCTTTGATTACAGCACACACTCACTGTGGCATTGTTTCGATAAGCTTCTTAGATTAACTGCAGCAACTCCACATCATCCGCTGCTCCCACAGGCTGGTACAGTACACACTACACATGATGGATGCATCCTCGATGACGATGGATCCCCACTATCATTTTTTTGGACAGTTCTTAACCCAATTTTAGTAGCTTCTGCATCTTCTAGATGTTTTCTCTGCTTGATGCATGCCAACGATTTGACCCTTCTCAAACAGACTGACATGACCATGACCACAGGATGTGTCTTTCTACATGGTTGTTTAAGAAATGAAAAGCAACTAATTGCACCAGTTGGGGTTAAATAACTTGTTGCCAGCTGAAAGATAATTGTCAATGCAGTAATTATCGAATAGCAAGCTCGTACCTATTTGCTATATATTTTGAGATCCATATCGGTTTTTTTTCATGACAGTCTTAATGTGAAAAATTTGACACAGGTCTATTCAACAAATAATACTAAATCAGATACATATCTGATGTTTTTCAAAGCGACCTCAGTCTAAACAAGAGATGCCCAAAGTAGGGCCCGCAGGCAAATATTGTCCCGCCAAGCCATGTGATTTGGCCCACCAGCAGTTGTCCTGGCTACTAGCTTGTAGTCTCCTGTGATAAAACACTATATTTCCACTTAGTCTTTTCAACCATTGGTCCAACTATACATAAGGAGCTGTAATCAGTCATGGTTTTCCCTTTAAGATTTAACATAAAATACAAGTAACTACAGGAGACATTTAGAATAAATAGGGTAATACGCAAATTTTGATTTATGAAGTCCCATGAGCCTTTGCTGCCCAAGCATGTCAAATATTTTCCACATTCATGGGATGAAAAAACAAACAAACAAAAGAATGGGCCACTGCTCTAGCTCAAACATAAAAATAAAACTTTACTTAAGCGGTATTTGCATTTCATGTATTATATTATTGCATTTGGCCCGCAGCTCTCAGACTGATTTTATTTTGGCCCTCTCAAGGAAAATGTTTGGGTACCCCTGGTCTAAACAGTCATGCTGCATTTTATCCGACTTTTACATCAGTGAAGTAGGGGTAAGCACAGCAAGACAAGCCTTTAGAATATTGATGATAATCTGGTGCTGTTTAAATCTCGACTCCACAGCACAGAAGGGTAATCCAGTTGCTTCATCGTTTTCGTTTAATTTGCCGTGTCCTGGATGACTGAGAATCCACAGCAACATATGACAGTAATGTTGGTATCTGACTTTATGAAGAGTAAAGTTACTGGATCAATACTTTAGTTTCCCCTTCCTGTTCCAAAGATACAATGCTGCGCCGGGCATAGCCAGCAAGAGGCAAGTTAAAATGTAAACGCTGGACAAAACAAGCATATCAGATAATTATTCAATCAGCTCTGATTGCCTTAACGTCAGAATCACATGCTAACACGGAGCGAGTCTGTGTGCCGAGTGTGACATAATGTCTTCTTCTGTGCATGCTGGTTGCATCAGTGTTGTAGAGAGTTCACAGTGGATGGAAGTTTGTGCTAAAAATCCAAATTGAGCATTAAGACCTGCAGTGTGAACGTAGCCTTAGACTCATCTAATCTACAAGTTAAGTAAAACCTGATGCAACAAGGCCTGTTGGGAGTTTCTACAAGTGCAGCTCAAAAATCTAGAATATTGTGTAAAGGTTTTTTGACAGTAAAGTAAGTAAAACTTATACATTACATCGATTCATTACACATAGAGTGAAATATTTCAAGACTTTAGTTTTTGTAATTTTGACGATTATGACTTACAAATAATGAAAAATCAATGTTCAGTGTCTCAGAAAATTTGAATATTACATAACCAGCTTTTAGTACTCTTGACAGTGTGGGCAGGGTCCTGATGCCTAATGAAATCAACATATCCATAAAACCTATCAGCAGAAAGAAGAATGAAGTGCTTCTTTCAAATGAATCTATGTAATTGATGAGTTTCACTTCCTGAAAAAAAAAGGAACTTTTTCACAATATTCTAATGTTTTTGAGGTGACGCTATGTGACACCTGCTGAAACAGCATCAACAACCAACAGACCCGGGATCAGCTCTGCTCTGAGGATGGGCTGGACACTCACTTTGGCTGAGGCCACCATCATGTTGGCTTGCTTCTTGTAGAGGTTTTCTATTGTCTTGCAGAGGACAGCAGGGTCAGCGTTGGCTAGGTGAGCCAGAGTCTTGTAGCCAGCATTGTACAGCTGCTTCGCTCTCGACTGGACAGAAGGAGGGGAACGTACAGGTTACAATTAAAATGTGATGAAGCAGAAGCATCCAGACACGCCTGCTGCCGCTGACCTCCATGACTCCCGCCACCTCCATCAGGGGAATCAGCTCGGCCTTCACACAGTAACTCAGTCGTCGAGTCAGTTCTGTCAGCAGAGCTCGAAATGGCCAGAACTCCTCCAGCTCCTGAACACAAACACAATTTCTCAGGAAGAAAAAAATCACCATAATCTCATTTTTTGACTTTGTTTAAAGGGGACCTATTATGCAAAATTCACTTTTTAAAGTTTTTTTTACTCAACTTTGGGTATGTACTTCTTAAAAAAACAGTCCTAGGACCAAAAAACTGCACCCAGGGGCATATTTACTGTAAGTAAATGTATTTTTAATGTATATTAATGACAAGTTTTATACTTCCGTCATTTTGTGATGTCACAAGCCGTACGACAACCCACCGGAACCTGCGTTCAGCCCCTTACCTAGCAACCCCCGGGTTAAGACTCCTCCTCCTCAGCATAAAGAGCCATCACGGTGTTGTTGTGCAATGCGCAGCTCATTTTACAACAACGCTCCAATAGGGCAATGGGTAGAGTGTTGGACCAGTCAGTGGGAGACCAGGGTTTGAGATTGGCACGGACACATACAATTTAATTATTTATTTTCATTCGTTATGAACACGTTTTCTCATGTACCTCTATTGTTTAGCTTATTAAAGCCTTATTAAAGCCTATTTGTTCGAGTTTCTGAGGTATTTTGACCGCTGCTGCTCCCTGCTGTGGTAACAGCATGCAGAGTGAGCGCAGAGCAGAGGAGGGGGAGAAAAAAAAGAAGCTGTGACCACGACTCTGCCTCTGGGTCTCATATGGTTGTACAACGGAGCTTCTGCTATTATTAGCCATGCTAACGTAAACGCTGGCTTTGGAGGGCGGAGTTAATGTCAACAGATTTTTGGAGGGCGTTACCAACAGAGCTCATTAACATAAACAGCTCKTCTGAAYGGAAGTCAGAGCAGGCAGAACTAGAACATGGGAAATTTTATTATCTGAGAATTATTTTGTGCATTAAATTGAATGAACATGGTCTGGATAGCCCACAGACATACCATAAACATTTCTAGGACCCATAATTGGTCTCCTTTAAAATTAAAAGTATACACCTGTTTAGGGTTGGGCAATATTGGCAAAAAAAATTAATCACGATTAATTGCGATATTTAGCCGATAACGATTAATTTGACGATTAATCCCCTGGAGTCGCTGGACGTCCTTATATCCTAGTCACGTGACCAATTTATAGGGAGAAAATGGGCTCTTCGTAAAAATCTGTTCCAAATTGTGTCAAAATTACAGACTTCAGGCTATACATCAAACTTTAAATTGTGTTGATAGATAAATAAATTACACAACTTTTTTTTAAATGTTGGTCATATTTGAATCAGAAAGGAGCACCAAGCGGTTAATCTGCCTGGTGGCATGAATCTTATTAATCGTCAAGTGCCAAAAATTAATCGATTAATGTTTTTCTGACGATTAATTGCACACGATACGATTATGCCCAACCTTTTGAATGCTTTATCAGATTTGGATGATTCACTTTTTTTGGCATAAATTCCCTTTAAATTCCGCTAAGGCCATGTCTGTTTTGAAAATTGCTCTTCTGTATATTTATAATTTCAGGTTGTGGATAATTGTGCAGATGTGTTTATGAGATGACTGTAAAAGACAAGCATTTGTCTACTGTAGCAGTGTGTGCTTAGTCTTCAGGTTGTGTGTCCTGCTGCCATCTACTGATATTATTTGATAATACACTGCATGGTTCACACAGTCAGTCTTCAAAACTAAAATAAATGAATAAATTACAAACATCACATGTTTCAGATAGTAAAGAGTTAAAAGATAGGTCTGCCAGCTCCCTCTGGAAATCCCCGGTGGAACCCCAGTGTGACGTCTCCTCGTCGCTGTGTTGCTCTTCCAGAGTGAAGATACAAAACGATTATTCTTAGAAGCAGAAAACGGCTGATGAGTCGTCATCGTAGATCAGAAAATCCTCTGTGTATAAATACATTTGCTATTATTACGCTATTTAATATATCCTCCAGTAAGGCTGAATCTGTTCCTGTTAAGGTATTTTTGTCACAATTTTGTGTGTCCTTTATCTAACTGCGTACATGTGGATGTAATAATTGTTAATCATGTGTGTCTGGTGTGAATAATAATAACTTCTACATCATTAGCAGTTTCCCAGAATCACCTCTAAGTGTCGCCAATGGAACCAGAACCGCAGAAACGTGCCAGTCTTGGAGTTAGCATGGTGCTGCACGCATTTCCACGTTCATTTCAGTCTTGATACATCTGGAGTTTTGTGTGGAAAAGGGCGTCCGCAAGGTTTTTGTGTGTACGTACCGCTGACACATGAGGCCCCTGGTGTTTTGTGGCGGCCGTACCTCGGTGAAGTGCAGCACGCAGGAACAGAAGGCTGAGGCGGAGCTGAGCAGCGTCTGGATGAAGCCTCGGGTTAGCTGGAACTTTTCAGCCACGCTCCACACGTCCGTCTCCTTCAGCAAAGAGGAGAGCACGAGGGCGAGGTACATCCGCCTCACCACCCCAAGGTTTGAGTTCTGATAAAAATTTTTTTTAAAAAAACACAAAAATAAAAATCATCAAAGTCTGAAGTGCATTCAGTCATTTTTTTTATTTTTTTTTTTTAGCAATCTTGTTCAATTTTATAACCCATCCAAAACACATCACCCGCTTTTAAAATGTGAGGACAGAGCTTTGAAGGAGAGCAGAACAATACATCAATATAAAAACTTCTGCTGTCTTGATTAATGAGAGCAAATCACTGCCATAAATGGTGGCTAAACTTTGAATTTCTGTTACCTTTTTCACCGTCTGTCCTGCGGCTTTTCTTGCAAGAAAACTCTCGGGCACTCCGACAGCAGCAGACATCTTTTGCTCTGCAGCTGACAGCAAGGTGAACTGCAAAGAGAGAGCCAGATGGTTAGCAGTTAGCAGTGAGGATGGATCTGTGACATCCAACCAGAGTTGTAAAGTAACTAAGTACAAATACTTTGTTACTGTACTTAAGTAGAATTTCTGGGTACCTGTATTTTAAAACTCTCAGACTGAAGAAGTCTCTTGGAGGAGAGACGAAACGTTTCATTAGAGAACCCGTCCAGAAGACCTATACAATTTTTTTCTTTTTTACCTGTACTTTACTTCAGTAATTATTTTTCAGCATACTTTTTACTTCTACTTCTTACCTTTTCACACAATAATCTGTACTTTCTACTCCTTACATGTTTAAAAAAGGCAACAAGTAGAAAGTCATTACTTTTATTTCATTTTTGCTTGTTTTCATTCCAGCTTGTTATTGTAAAAAAATAAATACTACCCATATAAATTGTGCCTCCTTGATAGAGTGAAGTTAATTGTGGTTGAATGAGAAGTATAAATATATAAAAATCTGATACTGTATTAGTTTGTACACAAACAAATCATGTCACACTCCAGCAGGACATAGCAGACATATGTAGCCTAGAACAAAGATGCATGTGGCGGCATATATATATATATAAATCCCTTCTCACCCTCCGCGGGTGGTCTCTTTCATCCTCTGAGCTCGGGTCCTCTACCAGAGGCCTGGGAGCTTGAGGGTTCTGCGCAGTATCTTGACTGTGCCTAGAACTGCACATTTCTTGACTGAGATGTCTAATGTTGTTCCTGGGATCTGTTTTAGCC